CAAAGCAAGGCTATATGAAATTCAATGGTAACGTCATCTCAACTCATATTATTGTGGGAAAATTCTACTACCAGTCATTCATCACCTTAGATGAAATAGGGTGAATACATCTCATTACACTTCATGAAATTTAGTTAAAAAAAGCTAAATTTATGCAGAGAAGCTGGGTTACGAAGATTCTCTTAGTAGATTGATAATGGCATACCTTCATTACTTTTGAGAAGGTTGGAGGAATGGGTTCGTAGTTTGGCCGCACTGGATACCGAAGTAGGGTTGTGCGAAGAAGATCTCGGGTCATCGTCCTACGAATCCGTTTACTCAGTGCTAGCTTTCATCGGTCAAGTGACGGATAACGTCAGAGCCAGAAACCATTATTCACGAACAATCACCAAAAAACGTAAGCCAAGAAAAGTGGCCAGCTGACAGCCTACTTACTTCTTGTACCTCACCTTGCGATCCTAATGACGCATTCCATGATTTTGTTGGCTGTTTTATGCTTGTCCTACCTGCATGTATGCGATTCAAAGTGATGCAGGAAGGGGAACGGATATGTTAATAACTTTTGTCTGTGTAATTAAGCTAGCGTATGATCCTGCAGCCCTGGGTCTTGTTAGAGCATCACTCACGTGTTGATCGAAGATATGAAGACCAAAATGGTGTGGCCTTTTGTGTGGTCGCAGTCTTCTTTCGTTTTATAGAAGTTGTTTGACCTTGTTTTTGCAACTTGGTCATAATGGTAGGAAGACTTATAAAAACGCACCTTGTCCTGAGTCCATTGTATGCATAATTATTTCCAAAGTCGGACCGTGGACGTGGTATATTCCCAGACGTTTCGCCGGCTATCACTATTTGGGTACCGCTGGAGATGCTGATGAGATATAGAGGAGGGCGTACCTGTGGTCAATGTTTGTTTGTAATACCTTTTGGCAGGCAAAGTTATGTGAAATTTAATGAAAATGTAAAGCTTTTTTATAGCATTGTGAGAAAATTCAACTACATTTACTACCTTGATAAAATATGGGGAATACGTCTACATGATACACATCTAGTCTCTAAAGCCTTCCTATCTTCGAAAAAATTTAGTTAAAGATGCTTACTTATTGTTCGCCTAGGCCTTACTACTTCTGTAATTCATTACGCAAAATCGTTCGCTGCCTTCTAAAGCTGTGTTCAATCTATTTAGTTTACGGCGGTCGAGGATTGGTTGTTGAATTTTTTCATATTTATGTGAGTAGGCCTTACATTTCCAATGATTTTCACATAGCTTTGCTTCCAAAAAGCTATTCTTATCCACGGTCGACGACTATTTGACCTTGTTTGGATCTCACCAACACCCCTAGCGATACTCAAACTCGGGTAGTTTCGCGTATAGTCCAGACAGGTTACCAACTACACCACATCACGAGTTCACTTGGGTCGCAGGGAATAAGTGAATTTTAAGGAAGCCTAGGCTATTTTCTTATTACACTTACGCGATTTGATTATAGATTCGGCAAAGCTATAAAAGTCGACTACTAGTAGGCTTTATTCAAAAGTTGTATTCAATCTATTTTGTTTAGGGTGATAAAAGGCTAGTTATATGATAAGCTTATATACGAAAACTCAACTATGTAGTCGGTTGCTATTGTAAATACAAGTTTGCTTCGTCAACAATTCTTTCAAAGGAATGTGATATGGGAAAAGGTTAAGCTTCCTTGAAATTCACCTTTGCGTTGTGACCCAATGGCACTCGTGAGAGTATTGCATGGTTGCTAACCTGTCTAAATTATACACTGCACTCCCGGATTCGAGTCCCGCTAGGGTTGATAAAAACATGGGGCTACTCATATCAATTTTAGAAAATTCGACTACCAGTCCTTTATCACCTTAAAGGAAATAGTTTTAATATAGCTCTTATATAGTTATATTTTTCTTTTCTTTCCCTCATTTGATCTTGTTCACAAAAATGTGCTTTGCTCCAAAACTAGGTAACCTCGGGTGTCTATTCAATATAACTCTGCATAAATCAGGTGCTATCATACATATGTTGATACTGGTCATTCCTTTAGCCTTGTTACTTATGTCTATAACTCAGATATTTATGTTGCTGCCAAGCCTGAAAATGAAGAATTACCATGAATTCGAGTTTTATTTTTGCTTAAAGCTTATTAGTTATGATAACTTTTCTTTGTGAGACATTTATTGTATAATTTGATGCCTTTTTTTTCATTTTCGAGGACCTGATATATCAATTACGATGTAATATTGTTATTTTTCGATTTCTATGTTACTAATTTGCTTTGTTATAAGCATTTTGACATGTTTATCCATTTGCTTTTTTGTGCATATCTTT